TTTTAATAGACCATTTTCCGTTCACTGCGAGAATCACGCGTTATGTGTGAAATCGAACGTAAAAACAGGACAAACAAAGGTCATAGCGTCGTAGTCGCGTCAAACATCGCGTGGGATTCGACAAACGCGAAAGTATTTCGGGGACATTTCCATGCTTAATAATGTGCTGTCCACATTTGATGATAGGCAATTTCGATTAAGTAAGGGTATTCAGAAACAATATTCCTCTGTCGAAGATCGGCCGGTCAATGTAAGCTACGAAATAAAGAAATTCTAGTTCAAAATCAAATCGTTCGATTTTTGCGGCAGACGTTCGACGCGCGTCTTTCATGCATCTCGCGAGATCTCGCAATTGTACGGAAAATCACCTATTATCTTGCATGTTTTATGATGAATTTGCTATATTTATATATATATATGTGGTTTTTTAAAACTTTTTTGCTGTTATTTACCCAGCTGGATTTTTTTTCCTATGCAAATTATTCTTTTCAAATTCTGAAATTTCCCCCTCCTGAGTTTCTAATGGTCAGCCCCTTTTCTGAAAAAGTGGCAGCCATATGGGCCATCTTAAAGGGTGGTGGTCATCGCGCCACGTCCTGTTCGATATGGGGCTCATAGCGACGTATACAACACATATAAAATGCATTGTTCATTTACATGAAATTCGAGCACGCGCTGCGCGACAACCACCGTTCTTTAAGTCTTATCTCGCAATAAAGTTAAATCTTTAATTTTGTGTCTACAAACAATGTTTACTTGATCAATGTTCAAAATTCATAGCAATTTGCTTTGATGACAAAATGCAAAACTACTTTTAGATTGTGTCCGATTGGCTACCTAACCATAACACCATAACAACGGTCAGACCAATCAGAAAGCAGCTTCTTTGTTGACATTTCAAATTCTGTCTTCTATATATGCTTTGACTCAACTGCGAAGCAATTCAATTCTCAACAATAGGTGAATTTCCGTTCGACTGCGAGATCTTGCGTATTGCGTGAAAGACTCGCACCGAACGTCTGCCGCAAAAATCAATTTGATTTTGAACATGAATTTCTTTATTTTGTGGCTAACATCGAAAGGCCAATCTCTGACAGGGGAATATTGCGTTCGAATTCCCTTACTTCATTAAAATTGACCATCAAATGTGTACAGCACACTATTAGGCATGGAAATATCCCCCAAAATATTCTTGCATTTGTCAAATCCCACGCAATGTTCAACCCATGCACCTGCATTTCTACCCCTGTATTTCTATCTCTGCATCTGCATTTCTACCCCTGTATTTCTATCTCTGCATCTGCATTTCAACCCATGCACCTGCTTTTCTACCCCAGCATGTGTATTTCTATCTCTGCATCTGCATTTCAACCCATGCACCTGCATTTCAACCCATGCACCTGCATTTCTACCCCAGCATGTGTATTTCTATCTCTGCATCTGCATTTCAACCCAAGCACCTGCATTTCAACCCAAGCACCTGCATTTCAACTCATGCACCTGCATTTCTACCCATGCACCTGCATTTCAACCCATGCACCTGCATTTCTACCCCAGCATGTGTATTTCTATCTCTGCATCTACATTTCAACCCATGCACCTGCATTTCAACTCATGCACCTGCATTTCTACCCATGCATCTGCATTTCAACCCCAGCATGTGTATTTCTATCTCTGCATCTGCATTTCAACCCAAGCACCTGCATTTCTATCTCTGCATCTGCATTTCAACCCATGCACCTGCATTTCTACCCCAGCATGTGTATTTCTATCTCTGCATATGCATTTCAACCCATGCACCTGCATTTCAACCCCAGCATGTGTATTTCTATCTCTGCATTTCAACCCAAGCACCTGCATTTCAACTCATGCACCTGCATTTCAACCCATGCATCTGCATTTCAACCCATGCACCTGCATTTCAACTCATGCACCTGCATTTCTACCCCAGCATGTGTATTTCTATCTCTGCATCTGCATTTCTACCCATGCATCTGCATTTCAACCCATGTACCTGCATTTCTACCCCAGCATGTGTATTTCTATCTCTGCATCTGCATTTCAACCCAAGCACCTGCATTTCAACCCAAGCACCTGCATTTCAACTCATGCACCTGCATTTCTACCCATGCACCTGCATTTCAACCCATGCACCTGCATTTCTACCCCAGCATGTGTATTTCTATCTCTGCATCTACATTTCAACCCATGCACCTGCATTTCAACTCATGCACCTGCATTTCTACCCATGCATCTGCATTTCAACCCATGCACCTGCATTTCTACCCCAGCATGTGTATTTCTATCTCTGCATCTGCATTTCTACCCATGCATCTGCATTTCAACCCATGTACCTGCATTTCTACCCCAGCATGTGTATTTCTATCTCTGCATCTGCATTTCAACCCAAGCACCTGCATTTCTATCTCTGCATCTGCATTTCAACCCATGCACCTGCATTTCTACCCCAGCATGTGTATTTCTATCCCTGCATATGCATTTCAACCCATGCACCTGCATTTCAACCCCAGCATGTGTATTTCTATCTCTGCATTTCAACCCAAGCACCTGCATTTCAACTCATGCACCTGCATTTCAACCCATGCATCTGCATTTCAACCCATGCACCTGCATTTCAACTCATGCACCTGCATTTCTACCCCAGCATGTGTATTTCTATCTCTGCATCTGCATTTCTACCCATGCATCTGCATTTCAACCCATGTACCTGCATTTCTACCCCAGCATGTGTATTTCTATCTCTGCATCTGCATTTCAACCCAAGCACCTGCATTTCAACTCATGCACCTGCATTTCTACCCATGCACCTGCATTTCAACCCATGCACCTGCATTTCTACCCCAGCATGTGTATTTCTATCTCTGCATCTACATTTCAACCCATGCACCTGCATTTCAACTCATGCACCTGCATTTCTACCCATGCATCTGCATTTCAACCCATGTACCTGCATTTCTACCCCAGCATGTGTATTTCTATCTCTGCATCTGCATTTCAACCCAAGCACCTGCATTTCTATCTCTGCATCTGCATTTCAACCCATGCACCTGCATTTCTACCCCAGCATGTGTATTTCTATCTCTGCATATGCATTTCAACCCATGCACCTGCATTTCAACCCCAGCATGTGTATTTCTATCTCTGCATTTCAACCCAAGCACCTGCATTTCAACTCATGCACCTGCATTTCAACCCATGCATCTGCATTTCAACCCATGCACCTGCATTTCAACCCATGCACCTGCATTTCAACTCATGCACCTGCATTTCTACCCCAGCATGTGTATTTCTATCTCTGCATCTGCATTTCTACCCATGCATCTGCATTTCAACCCATGTACCTGCATTTCTACCCCAGCATGTGTATTTCTATCTCTGCATCTGCATTTCTACCCATGCACCTGCATTTCAACCCATGCACCTGCATTTCAACCCATGCACCTGCATTTCAACCCATGCACCTGCATTTCAACTCATGCACCTGCATTTCTACCCATGCATCTGCATTTCAACCCATGTACCTGCATTTCTACCCCAGCATGTGTATTTCTATCTCTGCATCTGCATTTCAACCCAAGCACCTGCATTTCTATCTCTGCATCTGCATTTCAACCCATGCACCTGCATTTCAACCCATGCACCTGCATTTCTACCCATGTACCTGCATTTCTACCCCAGCATATGTATTTCTATCTCTGCTTCTGCATTTCAACCCAAGCACCTGCATTTCTATCTCTGCATCTGCATTTCAACCCATGCACCTGCATTTCTACCCCTGTATTTCTATCTCTGCGTCTGCATTTCTACCCCTGCATTTCTACCCACGCACCTGCATTTCAACCCATGCACCTGCATTTCAACCCATGCACCTGCATTTCTACCCATGCACCTGCATTTCTACCCATGCACCTGCATTTCAACCCATGCACCTGCATTTCAACCCATGTACCTGCATTTCAACCCATGCACCTGCATTTCAACCCATGCACCTGCATTTCTACCCATGCACCTGCATTTCAACCCATGCACCTGCATTTCAACCCATGCACCTGCATTTCAACCCATGCACCTGCATTTCAACCCATGCACCTGCATTTCTACCCATGCACCTGCATTTCTACCCATGCACCTGCATTTCAACCCATGCACCTGCATTTCAACCCCTTATCTGTATTTCTTCGATGAAACTCAAACTCTCTTGCAAATTACTCACTGGATGCTTAAATAAAAAGACAAGAACTAAATTAAGAATGAGAAAAAATTATTTATATTATACCCAGTAAATACTTTGAATAAGTTATTGTAACCACTTTACAGCGAGAAAAATAACACCAAAAATAGAAATAAAATGTCAATCATATGCAGACAAAAATAATGATGAGAAAGTTTCAACTCAAATTATCAAAATTACATTCTATATAATAATGTACACAAACAATACACATTTGGCAGTGAAAAAAATGGAATTCTAACACAAATTCCTTTGTTTACACCAAACACAGCAACAATGTAGTGCATGACAGACAAAGAATTAGATCACTGAAAGCAAATGATCATGCAGGTTGCAATATTTTCACTGGAATTTCAAGTAGAAGCAGGGAAAGGTGTATATGGTTATCACAAGAATACCACAAAGTAGGCATTCCCCTACGTGTCAGACGATTGAGTACCTTCGTGCCTTTGTACATACTTTCTGGTATTCTCAAAATCTCATATTATGCATTCCCTTATGTGTCAGACGATTGATTACCGTACTGCCTTTGTGCATACTTTGCAGTATCCTCGTAATAACCTCATATTATTTACTGTCAATATATTTCATAAATTACACATGCGATAATTTGTTGACTTTTGCAAAATGTTGTCTTCTTGAATGCTATCAAAATTACAAAAATTTCTAGTACAGTAGCAAAAAATTGAACAGTTTACTGTATATATTGCAGGTAAAAACAATAAAATCTGAAAATTTCTGTTTTCAATCAATCGTCTGATATGAAATCATAAACTGACATGTTTTCAAAGTTTTTTCTTATTTTTCTTCTTGGCGTAACTACGATATCAGCAAAGCTGTAGTTCCTGGAGAAGCTGTTTGAGCTTGGTGTGCGTTTTACAGCAGGACCTACAAATATAAAGTTGTTGTTATTTATACTAGTGTGTGGTATTCCAACTACTGTAAAATACTTTATTTTCACTTGTAATTAATTTTCGCTGAAGGAATATACCTGTTTTCCTATATTTTACATTCAACTTGTCAAAATTAAATTCCATACAGAACACTCGAAAAATCTTTTCAGCGAAAATTAATTCCAGCATAAATAAAGTATTTTACAGTATTTTACATTCAACTTGGCAAAAATCATTGAAAATAAATTCCATACAAAATGCACCCAAAAAGTCTTTTCAGCGCAAATTAATTCCAGCTAAAATAAAGTTTTTCACAGTATCTAACTAATTCAGACCACTGGTCTGAAGTAGAAACACCCAATCTGTAAGAGAGACAACTGTCAACAGTTGATAATATGCATTATAAATTGGTGTATGACCTACCATTGTAATATATAACCTCTCTAGATCTTTCATCAGAGGAACTATATGCTGATTAGGGATGTTATAATCTCCATTATATAGTGGGGTACCCCGTTATAAAGTTTTAAAATCAAACACAACTAATAGATGACTTTCCCGGAAGCTAGAAGATACAGCGTTTCACATGCGCGCACATGCCCTTTTGGGGTGTAAACTTGTACGTGTGATATTGTGCTTCTGGGTGTACTAATCAACGTCACAAAAATGAAATTCCGTTCAATCGACTATCAGCAAACTGAAATGTTTGTTTTTTCAGCTATGACAAAGCTATGTCTCGCTAAGGTGTCTCATGGCGAATGAGGGCGCTCTTCAATTACATTAGCTGACTTTTATATGGAGGCTTGTCACTGACATGAGCAACTGTTAAGACGCTAAAAAACTGGCCATTTTTATGTGTATCTTAATGGCAGAATAGTGAAATTATGCGTGTTTTGTTTGTGTTTGCGCTGGACAACAAGTGTATTTCTGCTGAGAACTTAATTACATACATGCAAGTTCAGCAAATAGGAACAATATTTTGATCTTTAAAACCAGTTTTAGAAGAAATTCACCAAAACACTAACACTATTGTTTATTGAAATCTAATTAGAGTTATAAGACCTGAAAAACAATGCTGAATTCAATATGTGAACAAGGCATTGATGATTTCATGTTGAATTTCATGATGACTGACTTACATATGAAGTCCTTATTCTTCATTTCTTTGATCAATTTTTTTTCTTGTTGTCTTATTTTTTGATGTTTATCGCACGTACCACTACTCCTATCCATCCATTTGTTGTATGTACGACTTGTTAACATTCCACCAACATTGCGACTACAACCTACAAATCAATGCAGTAAATGAGCAAGTCATAAATTTACATCTTGTGAAATTTACACAATCATCTGTATTTTGCTCAATCCTCGGGGGCGGACATCCGGGCATTTTCCACTGCGTGGCAACTCTCGCGGTGAAAACAAAAACTCACAGAAAACGGTACTTTGCGATGCATGGTTGTTGAGAGTCCCCTGAACAGTGTAACAAGTTTAGCCCTACGTGTGTAACATATATGAATTTGGTTGTTCAGGATTACTTCAAAGTTGAGTTTGTGTTGTTTTCTCAAATTTTCACCGGCTCCACCGGCGTTCCACAGCAACGCGCACAGAGTCCATAGAAATACGTGGTACAGTGGTGCGCGTCTTAGCAACGTAGAACGTCTGTGACGTAGCTCCGCCCCCGAGGATACATCTGTACATTTTCTAAAAATCAGGGTAGTAAATGTAATTTACATTAGAACATAGTATAGTCCAATAAAAATCAGAACTGAGAATAATATGAGGTTATTATGAGGATACCGAAAAGTATGCACAAAGACAGTACAGTGGGAGTATTGATCGACGTGCAGTTGAGGTTGATGCGACCGTGTACTGTCTGAGTGCATACTTTCAGTATCCTCGTAATAACCTTATTATTATACATCTTTTCCTCCCAAGGCCACATCATGGGAATGCCGAAATACAAAAAGTTTTGAACAGATTGAGCGAACTTCTTTGTATGGGGTCCAGTCAAACTCTGATACTGCCATGTTGTTGTTATTTATTATTAGAGGACGCTTACACGCGTAATCTTTCCATATTTGGAATTCGCATTTCTATATATGGTAGAATGAAAATACCCAGTGCAATACTGCAAAATTATGGATCGCTGTAACTTATGGCGTAACCGTCATTGGTAGCCTAGTGGTTGTCGCATCAAACTCATGACCGGTAGACCCAAATTTAAATCCTACCTTAAGCTGATCATCAAAAGGGGTCGACCCCTACCCTGGGGGAGTGTGCCACAGACTCAATGGGACGGCCTAATCCACAGGCCGAGATTTATTCACGAACGAATGCGACTTTGGGGGAACCTTGGTTAAGGTCCGCAGGTGCTTGTGTTCGACCAAGCCTGGTTGATGCCAGGATAGTGCATTAAAACTTATGGCGTTACTGTGACAGATTTATAATAACATAAAATACTGCTCAATTAGGTTACTTTCCAAGACGTAGAATAATCTTGATAACAATAGTATACATCTATATTATCATATTCGCTTGATTTGAAGTGCAGAAATCTGGAGTTCACTGATAAAATTGCCTTGGCAGTATAATACAAAGAATATTGAAATGCACTCGGCCAACTTATTGGACATCAAGGCAATCACAGTTTTCATTAAGTTCAAGCCCTGAAGGCACATACATAAGGGAATAACTTGTACGTTTCTTTTTATGCCGTTTCAAAATATTATTATTATAATATAAATTACAGAGTTGAGTCGATCTATGGTCAAAATTAGACATAATTCATTATTCTAGCATACAAAAAACACAATATCTGATTTATATGTGTTTTTATCAGAGATGCACTCCCAGTAAAAAAAAATATGGCATATACCAATATATTAAATAATTGTGTGGCGTGATACTACTGTTTTCAAAACACAATCAATATGCAAGTTATCTTACCAGGACAATGTGTTTGGAAATATCTGATACCAATATTATCTTCACTCTCACTTCTATTTATTCCTAAAGAGTACATAATTACATGTCAATATTGTATCAGTTCATTAATGACAAATTAAGCTATGTATCTATCAGTTTGTTAAAGGTGGCCGCAGCCACATCACCATTCATTATAGGTACCATATGAACGGAAAAGATTGACGATTAATTAGTACCTTTTAGTTTAAAATGTATACAGATTATTGGAATACATAAATGTGATTTTAAATAATGTTGAAAGTCTTGCATAAGCCATAATTTGCATTTTTTTCATGGTTATTGTCTCGCATGAGCCATAATTTGCATCATTTTCATGGTTATTGTCTCGGTTGAGCCATAATTTGCATCTTTTTCACGGTTATTGTCTCGGTTGAGCCATAATTTGCATCTTTTACATGGTTATTGTCTCGGTTGAGCCATAATTTGCATCTTTTTCACGGTTATTGTCTCGCATGAGCCATAATTTGCATCTTTTTCACGGTTATTGTCTCGCATGAGCCATAATTTACATCTCACAGAGAAATATAGAATATAAGTACCATACGCAGGGGTTTTTCTAGAAAAAACTGCAAGAGGGAGCACTGCAATTTAGCGATGTCACCAAGTGGGGGAGATAGGGTTCTCCCTACCAGGGTGTGGAGTTTTTGATAATACTAACTTAAAGTTAAAATAGAGCATTTTATGGTTTCCTTGGGGCCAAAATTGCTATCAGACAGGTCACAGTTGAAGACTGTGGCCACATGTGATCCCTGGTCAATCAGAATTTTATGGTTGCCAGAGGATCTGCTCCCAAGGGTAAGGGGGCGCATGACCATGGCATGAGAGTGCTGCACCCCTGTTCCCTTGTTTAAAAAAATCCCTGCATATGAACATTAACTGATTGGTTGGGAACAAGAGTAACTATTTACAATTAGAATAAATTAAGTCAACTTACCATTTCTGACAGGAGTGACCTGCGAGTGTAATCCCTGCCATCGTGCTACAAAAATCTTTCTGTGTTTTTGTCCAACAGACATGCAACCCCTTCTGTCATTATTCACTGGTCTTAATTTTCTGTTCAGTAATTTAAAACAATCTTACAGATGAGTAATGTGAATATGGACTGAATCGAATCAACAAACAAGTTGTTTAATCTGACAAATAGTAGAAGCAAGGCACTTTTTTTCTCAAAATGGAGATTTCTCCAAAGAATTAACCGGGTCTTGATCCCTCACTCACAGTTAATCACCTGATCTACAGACACCTTTTGACAAACAATGAATTTGCAATGTAATTATCTGTGCACATTTAGAACAGTCAAACTGCAAACACTACTCTCTCTTCAAAGGTAATGTAACAATGTTTATATATGTTTTCATATGGGAAAATGAAGTAAAAGTTTCCTTTATCACAGATATTCTCCTGTTATTTTAATCTTAGACTAATATGTTAACACCTAGATTTTCCAAAAACAAAGCACTGTAATAAATACTAATCAGAAGAATGTTTCCTGATTTAAAAATAATCTCCATTTTAGGGACAAGTGCCTTGCTTTAGGTTCACTTTGAAAATCCTCAGTGCTTAGTACCTCCAAATTCAACAAAAAATAGATATAGGATACGTCTACCAACTTCTTTCAAATATAGTTAAAAATTTCTCTCTGAAATGAGTACAGACACACCATTAACTCACAATGTGCATTTACCAAGTTTTTTTTTTAAATGTTTTTGTGCCAGGTGACAGTTCTGGACATTGAATGTCACTGTTGTCTCTCCTGACTTTTTTCTATTTTGTAAGTGCAAACTGCAAGTGCTAGTGCTGACACATAGTGCATTTTGCCACAGAAGTCATTTCCTGTTTGGGACTACATGACAGGGCAGTGTGGCCATCTCCCTATCAAACGGCAATTTTAATGCGCTACCAAGTTTGAATGAAATCACCTGCGGAGCGCCAATAGACCATGGACTTTTAAGTCACCACATAAATTTGTAATATTGTTGCTAATCCCAAATTCACATGTCAAAACAATTATTCACCTTGGTTGCATTATGGAGACAAATCTTGTTTATGCCATTACTTCCAGTCACTACTACTGTAAAATCTGTATTAAAAGCCGCGGCTTCTATTAAAATGGTACAATGCAACAGAGGAGATGCGGCTTCTATTAAAGCATCTACACATATGCGACCTGGTGAATTTTTGGGTCTTAATTGTTCAAAAAGAATGGGTGCGGCTTCTATTGGGGATGCGGCTTCTATTGGGGATGCGGCTTCTATTGGGGATGCGGCTTCTAATACAGATTTTACGGTACTATTTGTTAGTACTTAATTTATTGATTAATAAGCAAATATAACAGGTTATATTATAATAGACAACCAGTATCAATATCTTGTTTTTACTTAATTTTGAACAAAATTGGTCAAAGTCTGTACACCAAAGACCACAGGATATCAGATTTATGAATGAATGGGACTTAAATTAAATGTTTAAACAGGAATCTAGAATTATTGAAATCAAAATCTTTACTTTAACACTATTCTCAAAATTATGTACAAAACACCATGTGACATCAGACTTGTGAAGCAGTGCTAATCCAACACATCAAATTCAAAACTAAGATCGGGAAGCTTTTACATAAGTGTAATAATTACCTGACAGGTGTATCCATATCATCTGAGACACAGAATGGAAATTTTCTTTTCTGATTCACCATATTACTACTACTTGATCTGGCATGCCTTTGTAAGGTACTTGTAGAGAAAGTTGGCGTATGGTAGGAATCAACCATTTTTGGAGTGCCCAGAGAGACATGTGGGTGGACCGTGTAGTCATCTTTGTTCTTTATTCTTGACGTGTTTACAGTGGCAGCTTTATCATGGTATAGTTTGTGAGGATCTTTTTTCTTCAATTCTGGTGTGTACTTAGAGACACGTTTATCGGAGTGGACATTGTCATCTCTGTTCTTTATCCTTGGTGTATTCTGACCATCAGTGTGGACCTTGTATGGATTTTTTTCCTTCATTGTTGGTGTGCCATGTCTGTTTGGTGTAGATCTTTGGAATGAAACTGATACTATACTGGGTGATGCTGCCATTCTGTGACGTTCTCTACTGTAGTCCGGGGTTTTTTTTGGTGTCTGGGTGATCAAGAATTATTTATGTTTCTGGTTATTTTGTTTTCTAAAATTGATGCACAAAGGTTTTATTTTTATTCTGAAACTGTCATGACATAATATAATTTTTCATTTCAGGGTGTGACACGCACATTTTAAGTCATTATAAAAGATGTTTCGGTCCCAATGGCAAATGTTGGCTACTTTTCAACCGAAAGTTGGACCTACATAAATCTATTATCATCAGGCACTGCTGCACTACAACTGATTGTGTAATTTCAACTTTATTAGTGTTGAATAAAATACTATTATAACTAACCTTATTATGGGACTGCATACAGTTTTCAGTACAGATTTTCTGGTTATGGCATATTTTTGATTTCTCATTATGATTGTGCTGTATACTACAATTCAGACCCTTGTTGCCATAACAACCTTCAGGTACACTCCCTGTTGTATAATCGACACACAGTTTTCTTGCAATGTGTGTATTCCTTCTCAGAGGTATAGTAGGTTTTCTGAACACTTCAACTGGTGGCTGTGAATTCTGGTATTTTTTTGCATGATGTTGAATATCAGATTTTCCAGGTGTCCGTGGCGTTGACGCTCTCCTGTGATGGACAATACTATCATCTTTTATTGGTGTATACTCATGTCTATGGAAGGAAGTCTTACTACCAGTGTTCTGAATAGTGGCAACCTCATCACTTTGTGTAAGAGTGTCTTCTGTACGAAGCGATGTCTGCATATGAACACCCTGGCTTATACCGATAGAGGATGTTTCCTGTTTACTCTCAGACAGTAGAGTTCCATTATTATTTTCAACATCTTTATTTTGTATAGAAGTTTCATCTTTTCTATACATGTCATTGTTTCCAGTACTAGTCACAACATTCACTACGTTTGAGTCAAAAGTAGACTGATTGGTAGTCTCATTGTTTTTATTCTTCACTTCTTTTCTGTTTTCTATTTCTTTATTTCTCCTATCAGTGTTCTAATGGATGTGTAAAAAAACATTTTCAAACGATATAGCAAATTGAAAATATTCAATAAAATAGAAATAAATAAATAAAAATAAGTTATTTCATTATTTGTAAAAGCTTCACTTTTACAGCCTAGATTTGAATGTAAACTTTTCACAGCGGTGTCAATAAAATCTACTGTAAAAGGGTTAATTATTCACTGGGTTTTAATTTTGCTTATTTCGCTGACTGAAAGATGTGCTAAATTAAAACCCAGTGAATATGTAAATTTGAGCATAGAACACATTATCTAAATGATAAAACCATGAATTTAAAACTGAATATGCCTGTAATGCTAAATCAGTGAAATTTGAACCCAGTGAAAATTAGTCATTTTACAGTATTCTATTTCATTCTAGACCTATTCTAATCCAGATCTATTCTATCCTAAATCTATTCAAGATCTATTCTAATCTATATTTATTCTATTCTGGATCTATTTTATCAGCACCATGTCTGAGCAACGATTCTTAAAAATGACTTGGGTGAAAGACCATTTTTATATACTTATATTCTATTCTACTTTAGATAAATTCTATTCTATTCTACATCAATTCTATGACCTTTATATATGAGCAATGATTCTCAAAATGACTTGGGTGAAAGACCACTTTTCTATATATATTCTATTCTCCTTGAGACCTATTCTATTCTATTCCACATCTATTTTATGACCTCTATATCTGAGCAGAGATTCTCAAAATGAACTCAAAGACACTGTGCACCTCAGTAAAAACATGATTTTTTATTTAATGAATCAATGATGGAATTTGATTAGGGATTATTTGGTCGCAAAATACTTTATTTTAGCAGGAATTTATTTTCACTGATTTTTGTTGAATGCAAAATATAGGCAAAAAGGTATATTTGCTGGATTTTAAATTTCACTGAATCACTCCTTCAGTGAAAATTAATTCCAAGCGAATATAAAATATTTTACAGTAAATCAAAAAAGATAAATTCTCATTATCTACAAGTAGCTATTGATCAAAATTTCTGAAGAAAAAAAAAACGAAGGGGGGGGGGTATGCAGGGTTTTTTTCTTGGTAGCTGACAAATATAAGAAAGTTAAGAAATATAATTGTCTATTATAGCTAACCTGTTCACCACTAGACACTAGGCTGTTTTCTTTAGCTTCTAACCTGTCCAGAATAGTGACAAGCTTGTCAACGTATTTATCAACATTTGCCAGTGGATTTTCCATTTCTCTCACAGCTCTTCTGTCATCATATTTCTCTGCGATATTCAAAGGAGTCTGTATGGAATTCTCATCTGGAAAAGATATGCAATATTTTATGAACTGTTTGCAGTGAAGATTGCTCTGGGTTTATAGATAATGAAGTTGAACTAAATAATAGGCCTTTTCATCGCATGGCAATCATCATGGTGAAAACAAAGGCCGAAAACTCTCAGAAAACAGTGCTTTGAGATGGTTGTTGAGACCCCTGAACAGTATAACAAGATTATCCCTGCATGTGTAACATATATAAATTTAGTTGTTCGAGATTATTTCAAAGTTGAGTTTGTACTGCTTTCTCGAATTTAGCTATTTTCACCGGCTCTTCGACTAGCGTTCCACAGAAGCACGCACAAAGCCCATAGAAATACATGTACAGTAGTGTGCGTCTTAGCAACGTGGAACGTCTGTGATGTAGCTCCGCCCACAAGGATAGATAACCAGGCTGCAGTTTGGTTTACGAAGCATTTCTTTAAGCGCCCTCTAGTGCCAAAGATGTACTTCTGATTAGATACTACAAATGTAGTTTGATTGCTGTTCTGACACTCTTTAAAAATATAGCAGACATTGCAGTTATAACTTACTTGATTTTTAAAAAACGACCTATTCTAAGTTACCATAGACATATCTTTGTTATTTAGTAAGCGTTTGAGCATCAGCTTTTGTCACAAAATAAAATATGCATAATTTTTTCTACATTTTTTCAAAAATGTTGATTGAGACCTGATACAAATAGCAAATTACGTCCATTTTATTCAAAATTAACAAGTCATTGTCAATGACACGTCCCCGTTCCGTTCATATTTGAGTGACATATACATTCAAAGCAGATCATGACCGAAATCTCAGACCACTTTCAGTGGTCTGATCCGAAATGCATCTGCATATGTGTGTGAAGTGTGGTCTTGATCGGTTAAGGCATACCTGTGATATGGATGCTGAACTGTATTCAGTTAAAACCCGATTTGGAAAACAAAACAACGTGATTCAAGGTACCATAATGTACAATGTATGCATGAGGTGTGAACTAAATTCACCCATGGTGAATATGTGCAATTTTGACGAATTTTTGACCTTAAAAGGACTGGCCCAAATGCACAGGCATATGTATGATATAATGTATGATGTGTATGTGTATGTGTATGTGAAGTTTGAACTTGATCTGTCCAGGCATGTCCGAGATATGGATCGAAAACTAATTCTTTAAAACAAAATGGCCGCCAGTCGGCCATTTTGAACTTGATCCGAAGAAAAATTGGTGTGCATCAAGCTTATATTATGTTTAATATATGCACTAAATCTGAACAAAATCCATCCATGCATGACTGAGATCCCGTTCCGGAATTGTGAGAATATGTGATTTTGATGCATTTTCGGCCTTAAAATGGCCATCATTCAGCTATTGTTAAGCGGATCATGAAACAAATGCACATATCTATTTGTGGCATGATGTACCATGTGTGTGTGAAGTTTGAACTTGATCAATCCAGACATGTCTCGGATACGGATCCAGAACTGAATTCTTTAAAACAAAATGGCCGCCAGTCGGCCATTTTGAACTTGATCCCAAAAAAAAATGACGTGCATCAAGGTCCTATTATGTTAAATGTATGTACCAAATTTGAACAAAATCCGTCCATGCATAACTGAGATCTGGGTCCGGAATGGTGAAAATGTGCGATTTCAATGCATTTTTGGCCTTAAAATGGCCGCTATTCGGCTATCGTTAATCGGATCATGAAAAAAATGCATGTGCATATGTCCCATATAATGTGTGATGTATGAGTGAAGTTTGAACTTAATCGGTCTATGCATGTTCGAGATACAGGTGATCATGGACGCACGGACGCACACAGGGCAAACCATAAGTCCCCGAAATCGGACTACGTCCGAACAGGGACTAACAAAAGGAGGTATAAAAAAAATCAAAATCTTTGCATAAAAAATGATGATGATCCACCTGGGGTTAAATTAGTTATTTGTTACTACCATGTTAGAATGTACTCACCGTTAATTTGTACACATGTCTGTAGTAGATAAGTAGATGCTTTCATAAACTCATCATTCTGTATTTCTGTCATATATTTCACAACTAAACTGAGACCACCAGATTCCACAAACTCAAGCTGATTCTCAACTAGAAAAACAATTAGAGAGTGAAAGATAAAATGTAGAGGATTTCTCACAAGTGAACCTATAATATCGTATTTATTACTGAAAAAGTGTAAAATTGAAATTACATATAATATCGTATTTATTACTGAAAAAGTGTAAAATTTCCAAAACTTATCATATACCCAGTATTGCTCGGCCTCGTAATGCTACAAGAAGTGCGCCCTCACATCACGGTAATAATTTCCTGTATCATGTCTGACCCAGCACGTCTAGTTTTCATCAATCAAAACGAAAAATATCATTCTAAATCACGTTGTGTGTTTAAGACCACGGCGTATTAAAATTGTAATTACAACTACCGTACTTCCCCGAGTATAAGCCCAGGGGCCTGAACATGTAAAATTAGGGGGTGGGCTCATACTCGAGGACCACCTTAGAAAAGATAATTTTTTGGTGGGTTTAAAATTATAAGTATCTTCCCAACCTCGATAATTATCCAAATTAAATTTTTCGCTCACAGCGCCAGTCTCTGAGGAATATTACGTCTTTTTGAGAAAAAAATACGAAACGAGTCGTCATTGATTTCAACGACACTTTTTACAATGAAGAAACAAATGTGTTCATAAAAATACACACATTTTTATACAATACGGTTTACATACCGTCTGAATTTATGGTGCAAAAATGGGTAGGGTCTGTGGGAAAACAGTCGAAGGCAAGATCTTTATCATTATCTTCGTTGTGGAATGTTTTCGATTGTATGCAAACTCTTGATACAAACAATTTCCGCCATGGTGTTGTACATCATGATTTGACCTGAACAACTTCCTTTGACCTAACAGGTCACGTCTTTCGTTAACCAATCAAAATGCTGCGTCGTACAGACGAAGTTTCCCGATTATTGACGGAGTAATTTTTCCAACGCAATGTGGAAGTGAGTTACTAAAAGCTGTTGATTCGCAATTTCACGGTCGCCAACAAGTCACATCGAAGAATAGTTTGCTCGTTCACATCCCAGTCAGGATAGACTCAATGGACACGATTATTCGGAAAAGTAAAATGATGTTCAATGACCAGGTTTCACGACTTGACGATCACATTTTTGCTGTTTGGAAAACTACTACTCAAAAGAAATATGGATTATTTAAGTATTGCAACATTCGAGTGAATAACAGAATAGAAAAGGTGAAAACTATGTCCCGTACGCCCGCCATGCACTTAATTAATGCAAGTTTTCTCGTAAAAGCTGGAACCAAACTACCGTACCAATCATGATTTTTATGCAATGAAATACACTTTTTACATGCATATTTTAATAAATGTCGTCGACCCCCGGTAAAAACACCCTGGGCCTATACTCGGGAATGCCCTCAACTTGTTAAATGTCTAAAAACAGAGGGGTGGGCTTATACTCGGGGAGGGGCTTATACTCGGGGAAGTACGGTAAAAGGCACATGATAAAACTTTTACGGACTGGACACAGCATTTGTGTCGAAAGCTTGGGCGCTTCCGCTGCACGACCTCAGGACGTGAAAGCTATATCCAGTCCACAAAGATTAATATAAACACAGTGTACACAAGTTCGAACCCCCGACCATGGCAAATTCTTCACCACTGTAAGCAGATGCACACATCGCATTGCACTATAATTATCCGAGAAAAAGACTCAATAACTTGTATGATAAGGAACATAAAGTGGTGAAATTGATATGTGCAAGTGAAATCTTATACATCACAGACAACCACATAGTTACATAAGGCCAAAAAAAAAAATTGTTTTGTTGCCCTCGGCAACTGGCCGAAAAATATGAAATATCGGGTTGCGTCTTTTTTCCCCATATACCTCTGCTATTTACGATACCCTTAGTTTTCACGAGTTTAAAAAAAAAAAATCCGACCAACCGACCCAATTTTTTTCAATTTTCCAACTTGAGGGCAACATAAGTTGTTGTTTTTTTTTTGGCCTAAAGGCAAGTATACCTAGTAAGTATGACCAAAAAAAGAAAATGGGGACAACTAAAGGAAACTTAGCACAGAAAGATGGAGAGGGAGCTCAAAAACAAAGGAATGACCCAGAGCAGTCACAGACAGAGCAAAATTGGAGATCTCTTGCCAGCAGGCACGAAGAGGAGTGAATGAATGAATTGCCCCCAGGGTCATGTTCATGTTCATGTCCACAAGCAGTGTCTACAAGACCTGGCTGGAACTAATTATAATAACATGTATATTACAAATTTTCACTGAAGGAGTGATTCAGTGAAAATAATACCCAGTGATTATCATTTTTTTCTATATTTTACATTCAACTTGCCAAAAATCACTGAGAATAAATTCAATACCAAATACCCAAAAAGTCTTTTAGCAAAAATAAATTCCAGCTAAAATCAAGTATTTTACAGTATTTTTGCCTCTAAAATAACTTTTTCACCACCATTTCATCACAAATTCATAAAATAGTTTTGTTTATAGACTGCACTTCTCTTCATTAGATTGGGAAAAAATTGCCAAATTTTGTTTGAGTAAAAACTGAAATTTGACTCAAATTCTGTCTATTGGTCCTAAAATTATGGTTCACTTCCTGAAATATTGAAGAAAACGTGCAAAGAAATATGGGTGAGAAAGTGTGGTGGTGAAAAGCCGTAATATTATAACTTACCACAGGAGTCTGTACAGTGTGCTATTGTAAGCACCAGCTGTAGTTTACTATTGATAGATAAGACATCATTGGAAAGTAAACTAAGTAATAATTCCACGGCACCATAGTTGGATATACATTGCTTACTCGTGTCTACGAAAAAATACACAAAACTTATTATGTGCCACTTCTACATCATTGCCTATAGCCCTAACTTTTCAGTTGTGTTGGTATGTAAAATGCCAAGTAATGGCCATGCTCACACGATTCTCATGTACGTGGGTTGGACTGGATATCAGCCAATTCAAACAGCTTTCCAGTTTACACAGAGTTCAGAATAAGCAGGATGTCAATTTTAATACACATGGCTCAGTCTACACAGGGTTCATTTAAGACAGGTTTCTAGTTTACACAGGGTTCAGAATAAGCAGGATGTCAATTTTAATACACATGGCTCAGTCTACACAAGGTTCATTTAAGACAGGTTTCCAGTTTACACAGGGTTCAGAATAAGCAGGATGTCAATTTTAATACACATGGCTCAGTCTACACAGGGTTCATTTAAGACAGGTTTCCAGTTTACACAGGGTTCAGAATAAGCAGGATGTCAATTTTAATACACATGGCTCAGTCTACACAGGGTTCATTTAAGACAGGTTTCCAGTTTACACAGAGTTCAGAATAAGCAGGATGTCAATTTTAATACACATGGCTCAGTCTACACAGGGTTCATTTAAGACAGGTTTCCAGTTTACACAGAGTTCAGAATAAGCAGGATGTCAATTTTAATACACATGGCTCAGTCTACACAGGGTTCATTTAAGACAGGTTTCCAGTTTACACAGAGTTCAGAATAAGCAGGATGTCAATTTTAATACACATGGCTCAGTCTACACAGGGTTCATTTAAGACAGGTTTCTAGTTTACACAGCGTTCAGAATAAGCAGGATGTCAATTTTAATACACATGGCTCAGTCTACACAGGGTTCATTTAAGACAGGTTTCTAGTTTACACAGGGTTCAGAATAAGCAGGATGTCAATTTTAATACACATGGCTCAGTCTACACAAGGTTCTTTTAAGACAGGTTTCCAGTTTACACAGGGTAAACAGATTGTCAAATTTAATACACAAGGTACAGTTCACATATGGTTCAGCTTAGACAGGTTTTCAGTTTATACAGGTTTCCAGCTTTCACAGGATTCAGAGTAAACAGATTGTCAATTTTAATACACAAGGTACAGTTCACATAGGGTTCAGCTTAGACAGGTTTTCAGTTTATACAGGTTTCCAGCTTCCACAGGATTCAGAGTAAACAGATTGTCAATTTTAATACACAAGGTACAGTTCACATAGGGTTCAGCTTAGACAGGTTTTCAGTTTATACAGGTTTCCAGCTTCCACAGGATTCAGAGTAAACAGATTGTCAATTTTAATACACAAGGTACAGTTCACATAGGGTTCAGCTTAGACAGGTTTTCAGTTTATACAGGTTTCCAGCTTCCACAGGATTCAGAGTAAACAGATTGTCAAATTTAATACACAAGGTACAGTTCACACAGGGTTCAGCTTAGACAGGTTTCTAGCTACCACAGGATTCAGAGTAAACAGACTGTCAATTTTAATACACAGAGTACATTTCACACAGGTTACAAGGAGTTCAGTTTAGACAGGTTTTCAGTTGAGATATAATTCCAGTTTGTGTTCATCATGAACAGGATTCCAGTTTACTCAGAGGTCAGTTTACTCAGAGGTCAGTTTACACAGGGGTCAGTTTACACAGAGGCCAGTTTACACAAGGGTCAGTTTACACAGTGGTAAGTTTACACAGGTTTCAGATTACACAGGGTTCAGATTACACAGGGTTCAGATTACACAGGGTTCAGTTTACACAGGGTTCAGTTTACACAGGGGTCAGTTTACAGAGTTCAGTTCACACAAGGGTCAGTTCACACAAGGGTCAGTTTACAGAGGTCAGTTTACACAGGATTCAGTTTGCACAGGGGTCAGTTTACAGAGTTCAGTTTACACAGGGTTCAGTTTACACAGGGTTCAGTTTACACAGCGGTCAGTTTACACAGGGGTCAGTTTATACAGAGTTCAGTTTACACAAGGGGTCAGTTTACACAGGGGTCAGTTTACACAGATGTTACAATACTTACTGTTATCTGTAACACAGGAGTTCAAAGTACTTGCTATATGGATGCCCAACTCTAATTCATTCAATCGATCCGTAGATGATTTCTCATTTAATCCATTTATCAACTTGTCTAAAGTTAATACCACAGTTTTCAATCCACCAAGTAAGCGGAATCTCTCCTGAATGGACACTGAATATAGACAAAATATTTCAGTATGAATGCGTTGCACTTGCTGAATATAAAATTACCTGGTATATAAGCATGAAAGCAATAAGACATGCAGTTTTGGAGATGATTTAAGTAGAGTTGACGATGGAGAACATACCAGTTTTGGAGATGATTTAAGTAGAGTTGACAATGGAGAACATACCAGTTTTGGAGATGATTTCAGTAGAGTTGACGATGGAGAACATACCAGTTTTGGAGATGATTTCAGTAGAGTTGACGATGGAGAACATACCAGTTTTGGGTCATGTTAGCTATTGTTCAACTCGTAATTATGCTAATTGTAAACCAGGCATACTTGTATTCATATGCAGAATGTAATCTGGCATTGTATATAGCTACAGATAATAGTACACAATTTGTAAAATGCCATTGTATTAGCTATATAACTGTACATACATGTATTTTGTAAATCAGACCTTACACCTTGGCTAATACATTAACAAATATAAAACATTGTGCAGCTTTAGCCAAGGTGCAACATCTGCAGTTGATGAAGAGTTCTTCCTCAGCAAGGGAAAAAGTCGCTCAAAAATAGGGCAGAGCCACTAACAACTGAGCTAATACAGCTTCCTATGAGTTCTCATAATATGGACACCTTAAATGGTCATTTTGATTGTCATGTGGTTGCACTAAACAAATGACAATGAGTATATACAACATAAATGATTTTCATAAGGATGTAAATCAACATATGTTTAGTGCTGGCGCTGTGCAACTGCATGATTGCCAAGTGTAATTTACTCTAAACAATGGGGTTAATATCTTGTGGTTCTAATACAAGTTCTGTTTTGTCAACTACAACAACAGTGAGTACTAAAGTTGATAAAATATTTCACTGATTGAAAGAAATATATGGTGACAACTATTTATTCATTCTCTGCTGTGTTGTTGATGCAACAGAAAAATCATACAGTGATATAGTGATCTTGAAAAATATCTTACTATAGTTAAGAAATTTGTGGTAAAATGAAATATACAATTTATAAACAACAAAATAAATGTAATTAGGAAGGAAATCAGGGTCCATAAAATTTCAATGTGTACTGCCTTCAGAAATTACCTACAGCCACGTATGAATTTGTGGTATGGTAAAATGAAATATACAATTTATAAACAACAAAATAAGTGTAATTAGGAAGGAATTCAGGGTCCATAAAATTTCAATGTGTACTGCCTTCAGAAATTACCTACAGCCATATTTCTTGAAGACTTATTTCCCCAGCATTCAACAATCTGACCCAACTTGATATGTCAGATACTAATTTTGACTCAAGATCCCTACATAATCAACAAGAGTTGGCAGAGCCATCTTGATGCTGGGAAAATAAGAGTATTTAAAGGTGTGTTTTAGAGCAATGGATTTGGCGAACAGACAGAAAAGCAATTTCAAAGACTTTGAGTTTGTTTTAATGAAAACTTGAAGTATACATGAGGGTACGTATTATTATTTATTTATTTATTTTGGAAACTCAATTTTTAATCGAAGGAATTAAACTAAATTAAATAATCATATGTTAGAAATGACTACTGTTCAACTCCGGACCTTTAATTGTACTTAGCGTATGTTATTATGACAATCAACCAATTCGAGAAAAACAGTCGACAATGACTAAATGCATGGTCATAGCCAAATCGCTGTTTAATTGAAATAAAAAAAAATCAAAGAAAACAGAGAACTCTAAGACCGGAAGAGAACACGAGCGATGAAGTCGAACAACAGGCATTATGGCAGCCATGTTTGTTTCACCTCGATCAATACAGTAATACCCATGATGCACTATTCCCATAAGAGTGGGTATATGGAAGTTCATAGCCAAGCGTACTGCGGTCAAGAACGGGGTAAGTTATTACGTGACGAGACCATCCCGATTTGCCGTCAATTTCCGGGTTCGGGTGCGTTTCGTACAAGAAGATGGAGTTTCTTCACATCACAAACTATTGGAATCATGCACACGTGTGAGTACTTCGGTGACACATTTTATAGCTAAGCCCAAAATAGTCTATCATTTATTGTGCAACTGTGACCACACGACATCATTCTGTTAACATCCACACATTTTCATAAAGTCTCCATGCACTTTTTGACCTTTCATACTACAATTTACTCCAGAAAAACAATTTTCTTGGTACATTCCTACATTCTTGCATACTAATGAGGGATTCAGACACATTCCAAGCTGAACAATTTTCTTGGACTAATAACAAAGCTTGTCAATCCTTTTCCAGCACTAATGTTAAAAGGCATCTAAAAATATAAACAACAATTTGTTTACAAACCATTATTAGCAACAGTGAGTCCAATGAGTGAGATGATAGGTCTGATAACAGATGAATTCGTGGTTTTATTCAAACAATCCAATAACAAAGGAAATGAAGACATACACAGCCTTTGGTTTTCATCTGCAGGCCAAGGAAAAAATAATTAATAATAATATATTACTGTACATCTGTATCCGTAATGCCATAAGTTACAACGTGCCGTAATTTTGCAGTATTACACTGGGTATTTGCATCCTACCATATTAGGAAATGCGAATTCCAAATATGGAACGATTAGGCACGTAAGTAGGATTTCAACATTCTCATGATGTATCCTTGAAAGGAAAAGATGTATAATATAATAAATAAGGTTATTACAAGGATACCACAAAGTATGCATGTTGGTCGATACTCAGGCTATACTGTCTTCATCCATACTTTTCGGTATCCTCGTACTAACCTCATATTCTCATATATTGTTCTATAACTCATAAACAGTCCTGGGATTTCTATATAGAGCATGTAACATCAAAGATGAATTACTGAACAAATTTTACTATGCCAAGTATTAAAGAAGAAACCACAAAGGCTAATTTCAAACTCCAAGCTCACACAATGAATTCCGAACGTGCATTCCCATTTAGAATTTCTTTAGCATCAACTGTGAAATCTGTATTATTAGCAGCGGCTTCTATTAAAATGGTACAATGCAACAGAGGGTATGCGGCTTCTATTAGAGCATGTACACATATGAGAAATGGTGAATTTTTGCTTCTCAATTGTTCAAAAAGAATGGTTGCGACTTCTATTAGAGATGCGGCTTCTAATACAGATTTTACGGTACCATTGAAAAGTATGAACATGGCTCCCCTTTCCTATTACGAAGTAGTCTGATTATAGCTTAACAAGCATCTTACAGTGAGGACATACAAAAGAATTGGTAGTACACGCGGACTTGACTAGCGACATCTGCATGCCCTCAGAATGTACACGCAGATTGACACACACACAACAGTGTTGTGGCTTTTGCATGCCCGCACAACTCTCCCTCAGATACGCTTTAGAGGAGTCTAAATAAATGGAGATGTTTCAAATCACGATAAAAAGGACTTACCATTAGATGGATTGTTAACCAGCACACAGAGGGCACCAAGTATAGATGACCAGATTGCAAACTGCTGCATATCACCAACAATCTTACCAAACATACCTCGATTCTCAAGATGCTCGCTTGTTGACCTACAGTGGGAATCATATGAGGTTATTATGAGAATCCTCGGGGGCGGAGCTACGTCACTGACGTTCTACGTTGCTAAGACGCGCACCACTGTACCACGTATTTCTATGGGCTTTGTGCGCGTTGCTGTGGAACGCCAGTGGAGCCGGTGAAAACTCGAGAAAACAACACAAACTCAACTTTGAAGTAATCCTGAACAACCAAATTCATATATGTTACACACGTAGGGCTAATCTTGTTACACTGTTCAGGGGACTCTCATCAACCATCGCAAAGTACCGTTTTCTGCGAGTTTTTGGTCTTTGTTTTCACCGCGAGGGTTGCCAGGCGGTAGAAAATGCCCGGATGTCCGCCCCCGAGGATACTGCAAAGTATGCACATAGGCAGATTAACCTTTTCACCACAAGATTCACAACCAAATTTTTTTTGCAACTTTTCTTATATTCAATATTTCTAGAAAAATGAATCCTAATTTTGGAGCCAACAGACAAAATTTGAGCCAATTTTTAATTTTTACTCAAAAAATTTGGCTATTTTTGTCCCAATCTTCTGAAGGAAAGTGCAGACTATTAAAGTGACTATTTTGTGAAGTTGTGATGAAAAGAGGGAACTTATGTTGCTCGAATATAACAAAATGCCAAGAAAAAGTTTTCATGTCCATGTAATCGTTTGCATTGATTGATGTGATTTTAGTATAGTGTGCTAAATTTTTGCTGCGAAAGTTGAAAGAAAAATCGTAATGTACTGTAAAATACTTTATTTTAGCTGGAATTAATTTTCACTGAAAAGACTTTTTGGGTGTTTTGTATAGAATTTATTTTCACTGATTTTTGATGAGTTGAAGGTAAAATATAGGAAAAAAAGATATATTTTATTTTCACTGAATCATTCCTGAAAATTAATTCCAAGCGAAAATAAAGTAATTTACAATATTAAAGGTAATGTCAATGTAAACACACATTTTCCAAACATGGAAGAAATTCTAATGCGCTGGCAACAAATGCTTCCAATATGGTGAAAAATAGGTTATCATCCAAACTCTGAGGGGAGGAACAAAGCAAATTATGTTTTCCTTCAATTTAATTTTGAGCCACATTTTGACATTTTTTTTTCATGATGTTGTTACTGCATTTTTCACTTTCAAAAATGTGATTTTTTCATAAATACATGTATATATTTTTTTCAAATTCAACAATTTCCCTCCCCCAGACTTTCAAATGATCCAACCCTTTACCTGAATAACTGTAGCAGAACATGAAGGCAGTTGGATTTCCTAGCAAGATTCTGACACTCACCTGAAAATAAGCAAAATATAATTATTCATCAATAATTTCTATAATCACATGCATTTCACAACAGTGATATGCATTTTTTCCATGCTGTATTACCATAGTTGTACACTGAATACTGAATTTTTCACTGTATATGTACTACCAGAAAGTTATCTGGAGTTTCTGGGTTTATATACATAACAGTAGCTATTGTTCAATAGGCAATTTTCCTAATTTATCTAAAAGCAAATGACAAAGCATATACAACATAAACAAAATTTATAGTGATATAAATTAAACTATGTTCAGTGCTGCACACGTTGCTATGCATATGCATGATTGTTAAATCGTTTAATTTTTTCAGTTTTTAAATTTTGTGGTATAAGTCAGCAAGACTTACTTGAAATGTGTGTTTACGGACATAAATCCACAGTCTTGTAAATTTCATATGGGTGGCCCTCCCAAGTGCAATTTACTCAACTCAAACCAAATCATTGCATTTTTCTCAAAGATGGAATGATTTGATTTTGAACTTGAATTTTTTTTTAATGTTGAAACACCATCTCATATTATTAGTAAATACTACAAAAAAAATTTGAAATTATTGATAATAATGATACAATCAATAACAATCTTTTTCAAAATTATGAATTTATGAAAAGGCAGTTAATAGCCAGCTTGTAAGTCATGCCAGTCTGTACCATACACAATCTGGACAAGCTAGTAACATGCATCTTTTATATGAGTAGGCATATGCAGGGATGAGAATGAGAATTTAAATTTTCAGCTGAAAGTAAAGTAGCCGGAGTCCAAGCTGACATCATTAACGACTTCTGAGTCTACGTCCAAGTCATAGGTTCTGCTGAGCAACAGGGCAGCTCACTCAGAGCAAACCCAGCCAATCGTGTTAATGGTTACATATTACTTCGAACACTTGAAAACCACTTCGGATTTTACGATTGCACTGAAAAGAGTCGCGAACATGCAGCATTTGAGACACCGCGAGTTTTCCCCCTTCGACCATACACTGGTACAGACTTCTTGCAGCCGACAACAATGACCCGACAGCGTGTTTACTTCCAGTGAATAAACAAGATTTGTATTCGAACCCTGGGGCTTAGAAATCCGCGGATTCACGGAAAATTCCCATCCCTGCATATGTTGTCTTTTATAACTGACAATAAACTATGTTATCATTTCAATCACTTACTATTATTAGAGACCATGCAAGACAGAAAGTAGACAACAATTTTCTTTAATTTCAAAGTTCCATTCATATTTATCAACTCATCATGTAAATACTGGAACAAACTCATATTTGTCAATTGCTTCTGACAAAATACTGCAAAAAAAAAAGTATTTAGAATTAACCTTTCGAGTTCTAAATAAAGCGGGGGAGTAGTCACCTGCGCATGCTTCAGATGTCCATAGCATGTCATTGTTTACAAACAAGTGTCAACCCATGAGCCTTTGCGTTTTTAGCGTGTGTTGTTATCGTTGCTTGGGACTCAATTCCCGCACGTGCACAGGTGATATCCCTCCTGCTTTAAGACAACTTCAGGCACCATCCACAAAATAAATTAATTTATAGTCAGCCCTTTCCCACATGAAATGTTGTGAAAATTTCAAAATTATCTTTGATCAAAAACTAGAAACAATGTGACATTATGTCTGTTTTGTCCAAATAATGAATTCCGTGAAAAAGACAGAAAAAAAGGGCAATTGAAGGCATCAAAACTAACAACCTAGAATTCAGGTAAATATGGTACTGCATCTAAACATATGTTGACTAGTTTTTAAATTGCTTTCATACAGTATTGTATTATACTTGCGGTGATTTATTCATCAACTTCAACTGGTCACTTCATTCCTTCACAAATAAATTCATTTTCAAACTCCCTTCACCATAAATTCACAAAATAGTTCCGTTTATAGTCTGCACTTTCCTTCAGAAGACTGGGACAAAAATAGCCAAATTTTTTTGAGTAAAAACTGAAAATTGACTCAACTTTCATCTGTTGGCTCCAAAATTAGGGTTCATTTCCAGAAATATTAAGAGATACAATTTGGGAGAGAAAGTCTGATGGTGAAAAGGTTAAGACATGTTTGAAATAACATTTCCGTATTTGGTACATCATCATTTCATAAATCATACAATCAATGAAGAAAATTTTTTGAATATTAGTAATTTGAGACAGGCAATTTCTACATTTACCTATCCTAGCTGAAATCTGCCCATCTGGGAAAGGTAGACAGGCCTTAATTTCGGCCCCTGTTAAGGTATTAAATTGTTAAAATATCTTGAACAGGCTTCAAAAAAAATCGAGCTGCACATTATTGACCAGAAAGCAACAATTCAAAGCACTTACAGTATTTGCTATATGAGCTATGAATCCCCAAAAAGCACATGTGAGCAGTGTTCAAACTGAAGGCAGACAACTGGGTCTGAGGCCTAGAAGTTTACAACATACGTGCTCCTTAGGTCTTTTGATGAATTTAATAAATACAAATTTCTCTGTGGGTCATCATCTTTCCATTTTATTTTGTATTCATATATGAAGCAGAAATAGAGTCAATTTATTTAAGTCAATGCAAACCTCAGACACAAAGTTCAATTTGTTAGACGATGAGGCAAAGTTAGCGAAAGTAAAACCAACAAATAATTAAGTATTTTACAGTACAGTTGTATGTAACATTTCCTTTTTTTAAATCAATATTTCATTTGTTTTTTCAGAATAGCATTCGACAATGTTCTATTTAAAATGAATAACATCATCAAAGTTACTATGTTATTACAATATTTTTCAACTTGCAGGCCCTCTTGGCCATCAATATTTCATTTGTTTTCTCAGAATAGTATTCGACAATCAAAGTTACTACGTTAATACTATATTTTTCAACTTGCAGGCCCTCTTGGCCATCAATATTTCATTTGTTTTCTCAGAATAGTATTCGACAATCAAAGTTACTACGTTAATACTATATTTTTCAACTTGCAGGCCCTCTTGGCCATCAATATTTCATTTATTTTCTCAGAATAGTATTCGACAATCAAAGTTACTACGTTAATACTATATTTTTCAACTTGCAGGCCCTCTTGGCCATCAATATTTCATTTGTTTTCTCAGAATAGTATTCGACAATCAAAGTTACTACGTTAATACTATATTTTTCAACTTGCAGGCCCTCTAGGCCATCAATATTTTTCAACTTGCAGGCCCTCTAGGCCATCAATATTTTGATCTCAGTGAGCAAATGAAAAGGTTATACTTACTATTTCTGTCTACGACACATGATAGTGTATATAAGGCTGCTTCTTTGACATCAGTGTGTTTAGTTGATGTGAGCAAAGATTGAATAAATAGTATGCCACCACAGTCCAATAAGCATTCTTTACCTTCATCTACAAGTAAACAAATCATCTCATGTTAACCTTTTTTAAGACTTTCTCGCCCGAATTCGTGAATAGTCAATCACATTTTTCAGAGAAACATTCAACATGTTTTGAACAGTATTTTTCAGGGGGAAAAAAATGACTCTGAGTACATGAAACGAATGTCTATATTCTTCACTTTTTACTTTTAGAGGTCACGGTGAAACCCACAGTGGTTGACTATCTGTGGTATCTTTTTAGGCAGAATTCAATAAAATTCACTATCAAATTTTTTGCTTAGTTTTCATAAATTTTTAGAAAAAATACTCCCGTAAATTAACAGTTTTAAGTCCATTCTACAGGCAGATGACCACCACCTAGACAGGCAGACAACCATCTTCCAGGACATGCAGACCACAAGCAAACTTCTTTGCTATATTCCCTTCAGTTTTTTACACTCATTTAAAGGAAAATGTACTCAGATGAAAGAGCCTTACAAATGTAGAAAAATGCAATTTATAGTTTTTATTTACTTCAATTTTTCACAACAGTGAATACGATGTCACATTTTACCCACAAGCCTTTGCTGGAGAATCAAGATGGTGGACTACATAATACTTACGAAAAGATGAATATCTATAAAATGAAAATGATATACAAAAAGTGTAAATTGCATTCTCATACATCTGTTTGCCTGCACTTCACCTTTAAACTTAAGTCAAAAGTTCTAGCATAAATTGTAAATTTAATTTCAGACTTTCTCGCCCAAATTCGTGAATAGTCAGTCAAATCTTTCATAGAGAAACATTCAACATGTTTTGAACAGTATTTTCAAGAAAAAAAATGAGTACACCCTTTACTTTTTACTTTTAGAGGTCATGGTGAAACCCACAGTGGTTGACTATCTGCGGTATTTCTTTAGGCAGAATTCAATAAAATTCACTATCAAATTTTTTGCTTAGTTTTCATAAATTTTTAGAAAAAATGCTTCCATAATTAACAGTTTTGAGTCCATTCTACAGGCAGATGACCACCACCTAGACAGGCAGACAACCATTTTCCAGGACATGCAGACCACAAGCAAACTTCTTTGCTATATTCCCTTCAGTTTTTTACACTTATTTAAAGGAAAATGTACTCAGATGAAAGAGCCTTACAAATGTAGACAAATGCAATTTACAGTTTGTTTGTTTTTTCAGTGGATATAATGTCACACTTTACCCACAATTCATTGCTGGATAATCATAATAATGGACTACAATGTACATAATACTATTGAAAAGTTGAATATCTACAGAATAAATTGCATTCTCTCACATATGTAGAGCTCATCTGAGAGCATGTTGTTTACCCATTGAATTGAAACAATGCAGTGATGAAGTTTTAATGTTTATTTTCATTACCACAACAAGATTTATGTTCAAGGTTTAAGTTTGTTAAGTAATGCTTTCGAATACATACATTAAAAGTTGATTAGCAGGGTTTTTTCGAAACCAGAGAACAGAGGCGCAGCGCCCTGATACTCTCCGCTGGCACCCTCTTACCGAATTGCCAAATTTCATGTCATAATATATTTTTTGAGCCGCGCACTTCCCTGCTGCCATACAACATGAAATCTTTCTCAAATATATTTTTCTCTGTGAAAACTTCCCAGCAAAACCAGCTGACAATGTGTCTGGATACCAAATACACTACAAGTACTCCAAAAATATTTCAATGGCGATAGATACATCGTTAAAACGATGCAGAAACCTTCGGATACCTTCCACACCTAGTACCCTCGCCCCCCACTTGGCCGCTTCATGAAATCTTTCTCAAATATATTTTTCTCTGTGAAAACTTCCCAGCAACACCAGCTGACAATGTGTCTGGATACCAAATACACTACAATTACTCCAAAAATATTTCAATGGCGATAGATACATCGTTAAAACGATGCAGAAACCTTCGGATACCTTCCACACCTAGTACCCCCGCCCCCCACTTGGCCGCTCCGCTCCCTCACCTGTATGTACTTCCTCTTGTTCATTTTTTCTATAAAAAACGCTGACTAGGATAAACAGAATACCTTGTGAAACAGAATTTCCCCTTTTTACTTGTACCTGGGGTGCACTTCACTGGTACAGGCGTATAAACAAAATATGCGAGATGCAGCTATATTATTACAATAATTGTTGCATCCTGGATGCCTATTTTGCATCAACACAAACTTTGCATTACATGGTCCATAGCACCAAGAGCCAAATGATTTCCAAGACTTTTCCAGACTTTTTCCCAAACTTTCTTGCATTTTTCCCAGGCATTTTGACCCTTGATTCAGGCCAACACCATCACCACCAAAGCTCATCAAAGTTCAAAATAGCAGGTCATATGTGTATAGAGTAAACAGGCCTTTCCAAAATGAATTAATAACTATGAAGATATTTAAAGATCTTTTTATTTTTCAAGTAATTTAAAGACAACTCAAAGACCTTCCAGATCTCAAAAAATTCAGACTTTCAAAGGATTTTTTTCCCAACGTTATGCATTAACCCTGCATTATGTTATCTTCATTGTCCGAACAAGTCAAACTTACCACTATCTGAACATATTTCTGCTATTGTAACCAAAGCATCTTTCAGAGATTGAGGCTGGTTCATGTTACATTTTAAACATTCTAATAACAACCTCAAATCAGTCTTAATACCTGAAAAAAACAAAAAGCAGAATCATGAAATAAGAAATCAATAAATCTAATTTATTAAACTATATTTTTTTTTTTATTAGACGCATAAAATCCTTAGGAAAGGATAAAAAGGGTCTTACAGAAAGAAATTAAAAAAAAAAACTACAATCTAAAAAAGAAAACAAAAAATAAAAACTTTTCTAAAAAAAATAAAACAAGTCAAAAACAATATATGTCAAGCAAAGATATTTAGTTTTTTGAAAGTTTTCCCTCTACTTACATAAATTTTGATGACAGCTGAAAGTGAATCATCATATTTAGCTAGTTTGGCCTACGGGCACAAAAATGTTTTTCAATATTGTTGTGCTCTACTCTATGACAATGTTTTCGCCCATCAAAACATTCCTTTTTCCTTTACTATTTCAGTTAGTTAAGGAAACGTAAGTCAGTCGTTCATTTATCAAGTATTTATTTTGTCTAGAGCTTATTTACCTACTCAAAAGCGAGTAAATTGGAAGAAAAATGTTAGTTGTTCTGTAGAAACTATTATTTCTTACAACAAGAAGAACTGAATCTTTTACATGCACTATGGATAAGAACATAACAGAATAAACAGCATTGTTTTCTGAATAAGATGCCATTCTCCCAAGTATGAATGCTGTGAACTTAAAGCAAGTGGCAGAATGTATTTTTTTTCCATTGTTGGTTAGACTCCCATGGTTGGGATGTGAAGCAGACCATAGAGTTGAACCAACAATCTCTCTGATGCCGGGTAGACAACGCTAACAATTATATTATTCTATGTACCATATTTGGTTTATGAGGAGTGCATGTGCTTATGTTGGCTTGGGTGCAATTTTTATTGATGCTTTTCAAGCCATTTTTTGTGTGCTTTTAATAATCAAAAATACTGTTAGTAGTACTTACTGTTAGGTAACTTGCCCACAGACATCATAACTATACATTAATGTATATAACTGGTTTAACAAGAGAATACTGCAAGATATAAAACATATAATAAATGAGGTAATTATGTATTGTCCAGCCCTTGATTTCATGGGTTCAGGTAAGATAGTGTAGTCCTAGCCCAGGACAAGTGACTCACTTGCTTTTACAAACCACCTAAAAATCTATTTGCAAACTATCATAAGGCCACACTGATTTAATTTTATGGATGACATCCTCTGGAGACCCCAAAACTAATGCAAGAGGGCGGAGAAAAAAAAGTCCTTCAAAAAAAAAATACCGGGTAATGCTGCAAAAACCACAGGACTACGGAGCTGGTATTACGAATTGAACCACAGAACACAGTGTATCAAAAAAACAACAACAAGTCTTTATTTGTGTTGATGTACACATCTCGTACTGTATTACTCTCACAGGTATAACCATTTCAGACAAGCTCTAGTACATGTAGTCATGATGAAGTACCTTCAGTCAGAAACACTGCATTCAAGGTACAGCATGAACACCATTTTCAGTACAAGTCAAGGCGGAATGTACCTATCACTACTATAACTAACAAAACATTGCACTGTGTGTGCAAGCAAATTATCCGAATCAGAAAATGAAAAAAACAAAAAAACAACTTGTTTTCACCTCGAAAGCGTTCTTTGGCCGAGTGTCACAGTGTAAGGCCTGCTTATCGCAATTGAGAGGGCCACCCACAGAATTCACACTGGACAGGGGGTTCTTTCACTGCTAGTATGGGGTAGACAAGACGATAGTACTGGAAATGAAATACACATACACCAAAATATTGAGTTAAAGCTTCTGGCTTTAATACCTCTCAAAATAATTACAAGAAATAAAGCACAGAAAAATACAATGAATAAAGTCACTAAAATAGGAGATTGCTTAGGGAAGTGTGCATTGGTGATAACTCACAGTTCCAGGATGTATTAATGGACGACAGTCAATGGCTTCTGCAACAAAACAACGAAGAAATACAGGAGTCTTGCTTGCAGAGGAACGCTGGTATTCTGGAGGGCACCGCTGAAAGCAGGAGATCGCAGAGCAGTTCATACAAGTCTCACAGAATGATGGTTGTAGCCTGTACCACATGCCAAACAATATCGTAGCAGAACACACAGGAAAGCAAGTTGAAGTGATGGATACCAAGTTGAAATGATCGACACAAACTGTCCTGAGTCTGTCCAATTTATAGGCAGTGACACTACCTGGGTTCCCACATGAGCCAATCAGAATGTAATCTTGCTAGCAGCTGTGTCACGTAGGCAACTCGTAGATCATAAACATCCTTTGTTATTCAAATAACAGCACACCTGGTAGTTTCCAATTCTCCTTCCAAAGTTGTAAACACCCTTTGTTATGTAAATTACAAGCACACCTGGTAGAACCCACTGTCCTTCCAGAGTTGAAAACAAGTATGACTTGTCAATCACCTTTATGACAGTTATCACAATACACACCGTTTCTTCCCTTGATTCCATGCACACTTCTATTTGCAGGGTTTGAGGTAATATGACAAAAGCATAAAAGATGCTGACACTGAGGAACTTCCGCTGCTTTGGTTGCAGTTTTGTCGACTTCAATGCAGACAAAGCAACCGAACTGACTTGTCGCCTGAACGACTTTTAGGCCACCATACACCTCCACTCCTCTCCTATTTCTCTCATCGTTGCAGAAGAAACGCGGGACAGCCACTCTGGACAATATATGTCCTTAAAGTTGTCTGGACGAAACTTGCTTGCCGCTACCAATCTCTCGTATAGCTGTGTAAACGTCACATCTCCCTGGCCGACGTCAATTGCGTACCAGTCTACAACAATCCCTCCGTTTTTCCTCGCGGCAGTGCAATACGCATGTGCAGAAGATCATTTACGACAAAATTGGCATGTTTTGAGGTAGTCCAAAACGAGTTTTACGACAAGCCGGTGCTTTACAACAATATGAGTCGGCAAGTTCCGGACAGAAAACCGATCTGTGGAGACTTGTCGTCAGAGATTTTTTGCTAATGCGCGCACGGATGTCATCCATAAAATTAAGTCGGTGTGGCCGAACTATATCCAGTGACATACAATTCAGCAAGTGAGTTTAAAAGTTAAGGTGCGATTTTGTGACTTGATGACACCCTAAGATGCAAGACAGAGCTAGTATTAACAGTTTTGTGTCAAGTGAAAGTCCAGGAAACAGATGAAGATCACTGCACATAAATGATAATTATCATTATTTTTAAAAGTGTCAAATGAAATTATTATTACTTTTGCAATTATGTTGAAAGCAAAACTTTGAACAACACGTGTTAGCACAAAAGGCCAGTCATGAATATAGACACTGAAAAGTAACAGGAAATAAAGTACAAGTAGAAATTATGAGTATGGTACAAAACAATATAAAATGAGAATAACATAACCAGCTAGACCCCAGCCAATCAACTTTCAAAGCTGGGCTGACACGGTCAATTGCCTTGGTGGCATCTTAAAAGCATCCATACTGTTATACAGTGCTATCATATGAATGATGATAATCCAGATTTATATCTTTTGCATCAAGCCTTCTCTATTTTTTGTTTCACCCCGTCATCACTTCCACTTGTCTTATTTACTCAACAAAACAGGTTTGACACCTGATTTTTAGAGCAAAAAACTTGCTATGTCATCGTAAGTGCCTGAGAAATGAGGCAGCAGTATACATGCAAAGCATAGGTCTGTTTTGTTTTCTGTTTTGTTTGTCACCACTCATACCAAGTTATGGTGAATAACTTTATTCCACAACTTCGTTGTGGTGCTTATTCTACATTTGTGTTCTCACACTGAGAACATTAAAATTGTCAAATAGATAAATAAACACTCAAATCCTGACATGACAAGTCCTTCACTGTATCTTGTTTACAAAGATACGAGTTGATCAGGTCTTTGCGGAAGTAAATAATTGAATGACTTCTTAGTTCTATCGATAAGCTGTTTGATGATATTTGCTAATTTAAGTAAGTACATGTATACATGTAGTAATGTAAGTATAGCCTGGCAAGATTTAAATATATTATTTGAAACATAATTTCAAACTGTTGTGAACTTGCAGTGGTTCGTAACCAGTCTTGTGATTGGTTCTTGACACATTCTGAATAGGCCACGCCTCCGACTGTGCATGGCATTCCGCTGACTGTTAGAATATTCGTAAATGTAGTCAATTTGTGTAGTTTTCTTGATTTATTCTGCAGAAATTGGTAAAATATAGGTAAGGCTTTAGCGAAATTTAAAAGAGCAACTAATATTCTTCAAGCTATTTTTTTCAAGTATTTTTTATAGATAGATTTGTATATTTCTTACACTAGATACCAGCCGACCCCCCCCCCCTCCCCCGCGCTCGTAGAGACTGCGTACAGTTGATTATACTAGTAGTTCCTGGGCTCTCTGTGGTAATGACTGCTTCAGACTGCAAATCTAGGATTCTGATTGGTGTACGGGTCTAGCGTGTGATCATTTTTAACGTGTCTCTCGATAGGAGAAATATTTTGCGACTGTTTTTTTGTACTCATGGCCAAAATCGTGTCACTGGTAAGTGGGCGGGGTTGTACTGCGTGTAGCAGGGTCCCGGGTACACACTACCGGGCCCACACCACCGGTTCAGCAGACGACACCGTCACAATAAAAACAAAATTTTAGCGAAAAACAAAATATTAATTTTCGACTTCGTTCAACAGCAGATTATTCATGAAGTTACTAAATGAAATGTCAGAAATTGTTAGTAAACAGCAATCTTTCTTTTTTGAACGACGACAATTGTGGAAAACTTACCGATCAACAGAGTATTCAGAGAGTGTTGTGACTTCTCGAACAGAAACTAAAATATATTCTCTAAAAGGTATGCATATTTCCACGACGATTGTGTATCTGTTGGCATTAGCTATCAATGCCAGGCGATTTGGTTGGTAAATTTAGACAGGTCGTTTCCTAAATTAACTATAATATGAGAAAAATTAAAGATCTGTGCGAACACATAAACGATGCAAAACTCGCGCCAAGTGAGGGCGGTGTTCAATGCTCCCGGCGTCCCTTGCGACGGCTTGTGGCTTGTTTTGAAACTAATAGTAAAAATTGAAAAAAATTAATAATATAATATCTACCATGATCAAAACATTGAAAGTAGAATTTTGTGACTGTAGTCCGAAGTAATTATTTAAAATAACAAAAAGTTTCCGTTATCAACCCTGGAAATATGTGTATCGCTGAGGGCGCACGATTCAAAAACTTGAGAAGAAATAAACAAAAAAGCTGTGCCAAGAAAACAGTAAGTTATTTTTAACCATATTTGCGTCTTTCTGTTACATTTGAAGTGATTCGGAAAAACGATAATGTGCCAACAATTGTGCTGATTTCTCGTTATAGTGTGTGTGTTCCGCTTTGAGCCAACGTTGACATGTCCAACTTTAAAATGAAGCGTGGGCTCACACCGCAAACGTTCCATGAGTGACCCCATTCAGTAGTCAAGTTATCAGGGCGCTGGCAATTAAACAAAAGCCGGAACTTTCCTAACCATGATCTCTTATTTCTTCAGATTTTGTAGTCACTGAATGCGTAACAGCTTTTGTCGAAGATTAATTGGTATGTAACGACAGAGTTCAGAGCTTGGGTACGAGGTACGTCAATAAGTATTGGTGTACAACTATTTCATAACAATGCACATTTCTTTACATGTGATTCAGTCGGCCATTATTCCATTAATCGACCAAGTAGCGATCCATTCAAAGAGAGATTTTTATAGTTGCTTTGAAATAAGTCTGACCTGTTTGTTGGCTGTTATCAATGTTTACAGCTAATTTTTCTCATGCTCATCCGTGATATATTTCATCGTGAAAATGTGCATATGCACTTGAGGTCGTAACTTGTTAATATTAGATTTATTTTCTGTTTCAGTATCACGAATACAAAAATAAAAGCAATTTTTTTTAGTGACAGTTAAAGACGTATGCGCATATTGGTTGTGGTTGAATAAAAATGTTTTCTTATCCTTACTGTGATTTTTTATTGTCAACACTCTATACACGACAGTTACTAAAAAAGACATGTATACACACAGAGAGAAGGACTAAGAGAGGAAAATAACAAATTCAAATCAGAAAAAAATAGAACTTGTAATTTTCAACTGTCTGTGATATCATAAACAATATTACTTATAACTTTTATAATATTATAGAAAAAAAAGATTAATCCGTATTTTATTGTTTACATTAATAAAACATTTAGTATTTTTTTCTATATACAACAAATGTGATTTTTAGTTTATTTGCATTTCTATTGGAGATGCGCTTCTAATAGAACAAATACTGAATTGCAGGTCGTTTAGAAACACAGTGTAAAAAAAAAAATTGTGAATAAATATGCAAATTGATTTTTTATTATAATTGTCAAAGTCAGTGATCTAAGCTCATGATATATTCTATACTGTAAAATACTTAAATTAATTTTCGCTGAAGAAATGATTCAGTGAAAATAAAATCCAGCGAATATACCTTTTTTCCCATATTTTACATTCAACTCAGTCACAAATCAGTGAAAATAAATTTCATACAAAACACCCAAAAAGTTTTTTAAGCGAAAATTAATTGCAGTTAAAATAAAGTATTTTACAGTAATCAGAAATTCTTTTTGTGTTGTTGTTGAGGAAGTCGTGCGTGTTCATACACGCAAACACCAGTGTAAACATCATTCGCTCCTGCATGTTTACAAAACACATTGTATAGTTATACAGTAACTTTATGCAAAACCAGACGTCTGTCAATTCGATGTGGAATTCTGTTCAGTTAAAGCCAGTTTAACTCTACTTTATCAAAGTTGTAAAAAATTGCAGAAATTTTTGATAATTGCAGTTGCTTTTAAATTCTAAACTACCATAAAAAGTTGCAGTATAACAGTCAGGGTAAAAAAGTCACAGGAAATGGCGAACTGGTACAGGTTTCCATGGTTACAAATCTCAGTCAGAGAGGTTGATACATATACATGTATATGATTGGCATTTCAATTAATTACAATTCATTACTTGAAATTGAACAAAACATAAAACAAAATTACTAATGAGAAATTTCAATAAATTTCAAATAATACAATATTCAAATTAATTAGTATGGTCTTGCGTCTTTTTGTTTCCTGTTTCTTTTCCCCATGGGATCTTTTTTTCTTCGTCTTTTTCGTCCATATCCAAATTGGTAAACATTCTCTCAATGCAGAAGTTTTTAGAGGTTAGATCACTCAACCCTTAAGTGTCATATTTTTCCTCATATTTTTTTTTTTTTTTTTCAAATTGAGGTAAATTTGTTAAGATTTTCTGTTACTTTCACTAAATTCAATTTTAATTTTAAAATTTTCATCAACATTCTCTTTGGAAAAAGCAGGCTACAAATGTAAAATACTGTAAAGGGGGTAATTATTCACTGGGTTTTAATTTAGCTTATTTCGCTGACTGGAAAATGCGCTAAATTAAAACCCAGTGAATATGTAAAATTTAGCATAGAACACATTATCTAAATGACGAAACCGTGAATTTAAAACCCACTGAATATGCCTGAAATGGTAAATCAGTGAAATTTAAACCCAGTGAAAATTAGTCATTTTACAGTATTTTGTGATTGATACCTGAAGTTGACTTTGCCATGCAAAAAGTTTAATAAAATTGCTGCAACTTTTTTTTTTTTTTTTTCCATTAGAATAAACTACCAAGTACATTTAGATCTTATGATTTGAGAACTTTAACATGCCGTAAAGAGATTTAAATAAAACTTCAAAGATGAGTATCTTCAACCAATTGTATGATGCTAAAAAACAGTACGAAGAAGTCGCCGAGATTGGAACAGGTGCTTACGGAACCGTTTACAAAGCACGAGATCTTGAAACGGGACGATATGTAGCATTGAAGAAAGTACGTGTGCAGACGGGTGAGGATGGAATGCCGTTGTCAACGATACGTGAAATTGCCATGCTGAAACAATTGGAGAAATTTGAACATCCTAATGTTGTCAGGTGAGTTGTTTTGTAACACACTTGCTGATTGGTTGATTGGGTGTTGTTCATCAGAAAGAGACCAATCATGAGGACATCTATATACTGTAAAATTCTTTATTTTAGTTGGAATTAATCTTCGCTGAAAAGACTTTTTGGGTGTTTTGTGAGGAGTTTATTTTCACTGATTTTTGAAAATTTTAATGTAAAATATAAGAAAAAAGGTATATTTGCTGGATTTTATTTTCACTGAATCATTCCTTCAGCGTAAAATAATTCCACTGATTTTTGAAAATTTTAATGTAAAATATAAGAAAAAAGGTATATTTGCTGGATTTTATTTTCACTGAATCATTCCTTCAGCGTACAATAATTCCAAGGGAAAATAAAGTATTCTACAGTACATGTACTTAGTTTTGGGTTTGATCTCTCAGCTGATTGCTCACTAGACAGTGTACACTAGAGTACATTCTGCCTGGACGCATTCCGAAAACCGGGAAATTAATATTTTGCTGTTTCTAGATTGTTGGATGTCTACCATGGTGGCCGCACAGATCTGGAAACTCGATTGACGTTAGTATTTGAGCATATCGACCAGGACTTATCAACGTATTTAGAGAAATGTCCATCACCAGGATTGGGACCAGAAAAAATACGGGTAAGTTTGTCACCGTAATGATGTAATTATCATCTTACTTGTTACAGAATTTGTAAATTTGGTAAAGAAAAATTCATATTTTATAAATAAAAAAAAAATTAAAGAAGCCAGGGGTCACACCATTTTTGATTGTGCCTCAAATAACCTATACCGTTGCATATGGGTTTTTTTTTTGAAGTACTGATTCCAACAGTCAACAATTTTGTCTCAGATTCTCCAAAAAATGTGGATTTTTATCAGATTTGGATGTATTTGAACTTTTGATCATGTAATATGATCAGAGTTTTTAAAAATCTGATGTCTTAAGATTTAATCTACCGGTAATGAGATAAATCTGATCCTATAAAATACTGTGGAATTCTTTATTTTCACTTGAAATTAATTTTCACTGATGGACTGATTGTGCAAATCCTTTTTTCCTATATTTTATATTCAACTCGTCAAAAATCAGTGAAAATAAATTCCATACAAAACACTCAAAAAGTCTATTCAGTGAAAATTAATTCCATACAAAACACTCAAAAAGTCTATTCAGTGAAAATAAATTCCATACAAAACACTCAAAAAGTCTATTCAGTGAAAATAAATTCAAGCTAAAATAAAGTATTCTACAGTACCCATTTAGCTATTGGATCAGTCAGATTGAGTTTCATAGAATGAATCTGAATAAATCTGATTGTGTAATCCAGCCATAGTAGAAGGATTACAGTACGATAGAAATCCTGAGAAACAGACACTGTGAGTTACCGTGGGAACGAACAAGATTATATCATATATTGAAGACTTGGGTCAGCTGTACTTGCACCTTTTTTGTACGTTAACTGTAAAATCTGTATATCATTAAATTTTGTCAATACTTAGTAATTACACCCTGAAGCATATTCAGTCGAGTGAGACCTCCATTTTTAGCACTTATTGAAGGTTTCACACCAGTAAATCAAAGTGTATGCTTGCACATTTGAAAAAGATTGGGCGAATGTTTCAGGGTTCACACGTTAATCAAAATGCAGTACGGTAGTTGAGTTTTAATTCAACTTGTTGAAAAGATTGAATTAACCACTTTGTAATTACGGACCTACACGTATTCAGTCAAGTGAGACCTCCATTTTTAGCACAGAAGGTTTCACACCAGTAAATCAAAGTGTATTCTTGTGTATTCTTGTGTTCATATGTTGGGAAAGAGTTCCACACGTTACCGAAACATTGGTTTTGAGTTAGTTTTAACCCACTGTTGAAAAACTTTAAAAAGTTTAATCCGGTGTCAACTTGAGCTAGTTCAGCTTAAAGTACAAATGCTTGTCTCCACTTAAGAGTTCTGTGTTTAACCCTAAGATAGAACAAGGTCTCTGAGTTAAAACAACGTGACCCCACCACGGTGGGTAGAGCATGAATAGAAATCAACTCAAGAATTCAAACTTAAATATGGAAACAGATCAGGTTTAACCCTATGAATAGAAATACTGTAAAACCATTTATTTTCACTGGCATTTAATTTCACTACTGTTAAATACTTTATTTTAGCTGGAATTAAGTTTCGCTTAAAAAGACTTTTTGGGTGGTTTGTACAGAATTTATTTTCACTTATTTTTGTCAAGTTGAATGTAAAATATAGGAAAAAAAGTATATTCGATGAATTGTATTTTCACTGAATCATGCTTTCAGCGAAAATAGTGAAAATAAAGTATTTTACAGTATTTTAATGTTTTGAGCAATATCTACCAACCTGTGGAGTACTCATAAGGCATGGATATGAGGTTAGGGTGTCCACATCTACCTCCTGATGGTGGGTTGTTTTTGATGATTATCCTGAATTTTGAAAAAAAAATACATTACCCGATACTCCAAAATACTCTTACCATACTTATAATTGTCACCTTGTCTACTTCATAGGACCTATCTCGTCAGCTTGTCTGTGGAGTGGATTTTTTACATTCTCATCGAATTCTACACCGTGATTTGAAACCACAGAATATCCTAATAACTGGACGAGGAGAGGTGAAACTGGCTGACTTTGGGTTGGCGAGGGTTTATGGCTTTCAAATGGCATTAACATCTGTGGTGAGTCAGGGTTTTTTTTTAGAAAAAATGAACAAGAGGGATTATGTGCCATTTGAATGATGTATCTATCGCCATATTTTTTGGAATAATTTTAGAGTAATTCGTGTCCAGACACATTGTCAGCTGGTGTTGCCTGGAAGTTTTCCCGGAGAATAATATATTTGAGATAGATTTCATGTTGTACGGCAGCACGGAAGTGTGCACATCAAGAAATATATTTATGACTTGAAAGTTCAATCGGCAATTTGGTAAGAGGGCGCCAGCCGAGAGTATTTTAGAAAAACTCCTGGTGAGTGGTATTTAACCTTTTCACCATCAGTTCTCTATTTTCATCACAAATTCACAAAATAGTCCCGTTTATAGTCTGCACTTTCCTTCAGAAGATTAGGACAAAAATAGCCAAATTTGTTGAGTAAAAACTGAAAATTTACACAAATTTTGTCTGTTGGCTCCAAAATTAGAATTCATTTCCAGAAAATTGAAGAATTTAACAAAAACATGCAGAATAATTAGGGTGAGCTGTGAAACCATTAAAAGTAAATAATGTAAACTACTTGTGACTCTCCAACCTGTTGAAAAAACTTTTGTCAACTTTCATCTTGAATATATATTTGTTATTTAATTTATATTTTTTTGTCTATATCAGGGCAACACAAAAAAAAACATACTGTGGAATATTTTATTTTCGCTGGAATTAATTTTCGCTGAAAAGGCTTTTTGGGCCTTTTGCTTGGAATTTATTTTCACTGATTTTTGATGAGATTAATGTGAAGTATAGGAAAAAAAGTATATTCGCTGGATTTTATTTTCACGGAATCATCCCTTCAGCAAAAATAGCGAAAATAAATTCCAAGCGAAAGTAAAGTACTCTACAGTATTTGTTGGGGCATTCCACAAACATTTTGAGCGCCAAATTCAACTTGTTCTACCATTCACAAAACAAAACTATCGATAACATTATTTTTTTTAATTATTTTTCCCCAAAATTTTGATCATGACCTTGTAGCCAATAGATTATGTCAGTTTGGTCAAGTTTATTACAAGTTCATAAAAACAGGGAAAATGTTAAATATAAAAAATTGACGAAAATCAGGTTACCGTGTCTTCATATTTTGTTCTTGTTTTCAATAGGTTGTTACGTTATGGTATCGAGCACCTGAGGTATTATTACAGGGTAGATATGCTACACCAGTCGATATGTGGAGTGTGGGGTGTATAATAGCAGAGTTATTTACCAGATTGTGAGTACTTGTTAAGGTATTATTACAGGGGAGATATGCTACACCAGTCGATATGTGGAGTGTGGGGTGCAGGGTTCTCCCCAGGACTTTTTAGCGCCGAGGTCCGCGGCGCTATACCTGTGAATCTCGGCGCTTCACTTGGGACCTCGGCGCTATGTGTTCCCACCTCGGCGCTTGATTTCATATTTGACATGCCAATATCAGATGTGAAAAAGCTTTGTTCGCCACGCCGGTCACTCAAAATTAGTGACCACCAAGGAAATGCTTCCGACGAGGACTATTGTCTGATTGTTGGTATAATTACGTACCGACCGACACGCGTCCTGCCAGTCGTGGATTATAATTTATAAACAATAGACCTACGATACGATACGATACGTACCTACTAGATCGCACGATACGTAGCGGCTAGTCAAATTTGTGGAATTAGCACCTCTTTGTTTGTAAGTAAATACTTTCTGCGATAGACACAGTCTTTAGATTGAAAGCTAAAATTATTTCAAAATCAATTCCACCTCGATATAACATGGTCAAATCGGAGTTCACGATCAGTTCACGCTACTCAAGAAAAAAACAACGTGTTTATTGCGTGATTTGGTAAAATACATTTGAACTGTTATCATTGCGAATCATG